CAATTCTTTTGTGCTCAGCCTTTCTTATGGTCCAACTTTCACAGCCATACATTGCAACTGGGAAAACCATGGCCTTGACTATACGTACTTTTGTTGGCAGGGTGATGTCTCTGCTTTTTAGTATGCTGTCTAGATTTGCCATAGCTTTCCTCCCCAGGAGCAAGCGTCTTTTAATTTCTTGGCTGCAGTCCCCATCTGTAGTCTTATTTCCTGACTCTAAGTTTAGGTAAAATAATACTATAAATGCTATACTGCCTACTTAAAATCTACAAAACAAGTGCTTTCCCACATTCTTTTTGCCTCAGTCTTACTACAAAATTATCAGTTTGACAGGATAAGAATGAGTGCCATTAGTTGAAACATGATCAGTTGTGCTAATATTGTGCCCAACAGGAATTAATACTGTATAGAACAACAACTATATGATAATATATTGAGTATAATTTCAATTCCTCCTGGCACTGCAACTCTTCTCATAGCAAAAAAAGAGATTGGTGGAATAATGTTTCTTCTCCACTGCATAGTTGACATTTACAAATTATGGGTATCTTACTGGAATTTTCCCTATGTTGAAGGTTTATGCAACACTCATGAGAGATAAATTTCATCTTCAGTTAACCAGACTTTTTAAATCCTCTTAAATAAATGTCCCATCTACACTGAGTGATTGGTATAACGTCTGATCTGGCTCAAAAACAGTTTTACTTACTTTAACTAAATGGTTGTGTTATAAGCCCTCTATAACCAAGCAAAGAAGAAAGCTATAGTCAGACCTTGATGGACTAAATGAAGTAATCCTGGCTGACTTAACAATTTGCTATGATTATATGCATTTCTTTAAAATGAATCAGGCCTTGAGTGACAAACCCTTCCCTCCATCTCTTATGAGCATATGATTCTAAAATATGGATCATATTTTGCCAAAACAGTTCTTCCTCTGCTTTAGATGCTAAATCACATAGGGAAACAATCTGTCTTTATTTAAATAAATGATTGGTTCTTAAAGGACAGAACTATGTATCATTAAAAGTATATGAATGAATCAAAGTTGGATATTTCTGGAACAGTTTGAACATTCCATACAGTACTTTAGCCTTTAATGCACTTCTGTTCCTGCACTCCATACAAGTAAATGAAATTGCCCTTGTAGCTATTGCTGCTAACAAACACTCCCTTCAGTAACTTTAAATCGTGGCAGAGAACGGTATTCTAAATTGGGACAGCAGATGGCATGCATGAACTTTCTTTTTTAAAAAATAGTTACAAATCACTAGAGAAGGATGTTTCCAAGTAACCATAAAGCAAATATATTTATGTATGCTGTTATCAAAATAGTTTTTTTCCCTCAAAAACTATCTTTCATTTTCACAGCATTTAAGTAAAAATAATGTGTTCTGAAATTTAGTATGTGTTTGGACTCGGAGTAGATGCAATAATTAGTAATGCATAATAAAACCCTTCTCCATTGGTGTTAGGACTACATTTTTCAGAATTGCCAGTTGGCATGGCTTGTGTTTCACTAAAAAGTTATTTGCTGTCTCCGGTAGTATTTAGCTTGTGTATGTTATACTCTCCTATTCAGTCCATTTTGCGTTTAATGACGCAGGCCTGTTGGCTAGAGAGTTTAGGTCTCTGTAAACTCACCGTTTTGAAGTATCAGAACATTTTTGCTTTTTCCCAGAATAACACAGCTTTTCTTACCCTCAGCCTTATGCCTAATTCTATATTATGTGAAAATATGTCTTCTGGAAGCCAGAGGTTGTGCTTTTTTGGGGGGAGAAATCATTGTTGGAACTGTTAGATAAGAAGCTACCTACGCCCTTCCCTGCCCTCCTTTCTCCACTCCAAATTATCTGCAAACTATTTCCTTTCAAATGCTTGAAATACTGGATAAAGTTAGAATAAAGAAACAAGAATTTAGAGAAACTGGCAAAGTAAAGAATATATTCCATCCCTTTCAACTCTGCATTCACCTCCTTCACCTTTCATTAAGCTATGCATTTAATTATTGTTTATTAATTTTAACAAATATTCATGCAAGTTTAAGTTCATAATCTTGCTGCATTGCACACATGCCTGCACAGAGCAAAAATCCTAGTGCTGCACAAACCTTTTGGTCTTGGCCATGATTTCACCTCGTGCTTCAGTTCAAACCACTGTTATAGCAACACTATTTGAATGCAGGTGTTCGTGTTACTGTTTTCAACAACAGTGAAGATGTTTATGTGATTTTGTTCTTCCTTCCCCCCATAACTATCTGACTGGTAGTGAATATTTACAAAGCAGTGGCATCTGCATGGGACCAAAGGGGTGGGGGACAAACTGATGGAAGCAGTGCTGTGACACTAACTTTGCTCCTTTTCTATGTGCCCTGCAATCCATGAACAACTAAAGGGGGGTGACGCATGCAGCACAATGTCACAATGTTGCTTTACTGGTTCTGGCAAAAGTAAGATCAGTAGACACTATTTATCCAAAGTAATTCTACCTATGAAATTGATACCTGCCTTCTACCAATATTGGGCAAGTTAATTGGCATTTTCTTGAACCAAAGAAGAAATTGCAAATTACTTATTGTATTGTAGGAGATGAGCAGGCCGAGCCCGAGGGAGGGATACAACGTGTCATCAGTCTCCAGTCCCTTCGCGCCCACAAGTGTTCTAAGCCCAGCCCACCTTGAATTCCATTGACTCTTATCTACCACCAATTTGCTTTGGCCGTTAGTAGTTCAAATTCTTGTAGAGAGCATAAGCTTGCAATAAACCTTTATATTCATTTGAACTGCCT